CACGCAGTTGCGAAACCTTTCAGATTTTGCTGGGTTGCATCCGGGTAGCACGTGATATCACTGAACCTCACGGCGTGTATTGGTTGGCGATAGTTATTGTGCTCTGACTGATGGATTCACTCGGACGTAAACTACGCCCGACACAATGCCGTACCACGATTACTAAATTTGTCTGCATAAACCCAAGGACTCAATTCAATGTTTCTGCTCGGACTCGGAGCTATTTTTTTTAATTCCGACTCAAGCTAGATATAGCGTTTCCGAAGGCATCCATGGTGATGTTAGAGCTAAGAAAGTAAAACATGACCCATATAAGCTAAGCCAAAAAAAAAGTGTAATTCCAAATTACCTAATTACTGTGAAATACTTTATTTTCGCTCGGAATTTAATTTCACTATTTTCGCTGAAGGAGTGATTCAGTGAAAATAAAATCCAGCTAATATAAAAGTATTTTATAGCACACTTTTGTCGCTCCACGGTCAGAAGCAGTCAACGAACGCGTTACATTATTATGTGTATTGTTTTAGAACTCGTCTTCACATTCAGTTGTCTACGATTACATTTGAAGACATTCTAAATGTTTAGAGTATGTTGTTAGATGTTAGTTTTTACCTCCTACTCGTTCATTTAAACAGTGCCTTCCCTATACAAAATCGAATGTCTGTCCATTGTCTTTTCTCGCCACCACTTCCCACAGCCTTTTATGGATATTGCGCCCCTACTGAAAATATCTGTTAACCAACAGTTTTTTTTATTTTTTGCGATGAATCTAAAATAAGTAACAATATAATTAACGTTTTGAGCAAAAGTTAATTAATTTTATATACCCATGTAACTACACATCACTGGTGGTGTACCCATGGCATAAAGACAAAACACAGTGCTATTTTCGCCCAACCTTCCGTGGATAAATATAGCTAGTAATACTAGTATAATAAAATAATAAAGACAAAATACAGTACTAGTTTCACCCAACATTGGTAGTTCAACAATTTGGATGTCAATAATCACTGTTTAGATAAGAACGACATACTATCAAATAACTCAACTAAAACACACAAAGAGATAGCACGTGAGAAACCCAAATGTTGTCAAGTGCGCCGTCAGAGGTGAATTGGGCAATACATTTCTTTTTGTTTAGTTCAATAATTTTAAAGATTCTGAAGTCAATGCGATTATGCCCGATTAGCTACCCAAATCTAACACCTAATAGCTAGTCCAATCAGTGAGCAGCTAGTTCGTTGACAGTTTTTTTTTTTAGGATTGTTCCATAAGCACTAATCTGACATGTAGGCTTGACTTCAACTGAAGCACCGCGGAGGGCGCAACTCACGCGACCTCGGCAGGCTACATGAGCACTGGTCACAATCGTGTGCACAGGCTAAGTAGCATTGACTACCAAATCAGCTAGATGCAAACAACCCCTTAACAAATTACTGAACCAAACAAGGTGAACACTGTTTTGTACACAATCAGTACTGAGGGTGTATGTTAATTATATTTAACTACTACATGTAGTATATCTGTGCTATGTTTATAGAAGAACCTTCCCAAATAAAAGAAATTCTAACAAGCAGCCTTTCGGCTGAGATAGCTCCGCTGTTAGCAATGCATATAATAATTAAAGAACAGAAGATATCATTAGAAAATGAACAATATGTATAGTATCAAAGCAATCGGACGTGCTGTTTTCAACAAGAATTCGAAAATATCGCTTTTCACCAAAAAATGACAAAAATATTCATAAAAAAATAGATAATTGAATATATCATCAGAAAATGAACAAATCTGAGAGAGGTCTACCTGTAGTACCTATATGTAGTTTTTAACAAGAAGTCGAAAATATCACTTTTACCAAAAATGACAAAAATATTCACCAAAATAAGAGAATTGAAGATATCATCACGAAATGAACAAATCTGAGAGAGGTCCACATGTAGTACCAATATATGTAATATCAAAGCAGTCAGACTTGAGGTTTTCAAGAAGAAGTCGAAAATATCACTTTTCACCAAAAATGACAAAAATATTTACCAAAATAAGAAAATTGAAGACATCATCATGAAATGAACAAATCTGAGAGAGGTCTACCTGTAGTACCTATTTATGTAATATCAAAGCAATCAGACTTGCGGTTTTCAACAAGAAGTCGAAAATATCACTTTCTACTAAAATATTCATCAAAATAAGAGAATTTAAAGATATCGTCACAAAATGAACAAGTCTGAGAGAGGTCCACATGTAGTACCTATATATGCATATCAAAGCAATCAGATTTGCGGTTTTTAACAAGAAGTCGAAAACATCACTTTTC